CAATTTAAAAGTTCTGAAACTAAAAAGTAATATTTTCAATAAGAATAAGAAAAAAATAAATTGTTTAGTAAAAAATGATGATTTAAATGGCATTAAAGATTCTTTAAATAATGAAATTATATTATTAATAAACCAACTTCCCAAAGTCGTCTGATTAATAGGCAATTTGTAATAAAATAAAGATAGGTTCTAACTTGTCCTTTTGTTCTTTATTATAAATTATCGCGAGGCATTGAGGAGATTGGAAGTCATGAAGGGAAAAACTTTCTGGTGTAGATATTCAAATGTGAGTCCCAAGTATTCAAGAACACCAGGAAGACGAAAATACTGTTATGTTGACGATCTATTAAAATACTATATACTGGCAGCCATTTTCCTATGGACTTCGCACATCAATTAATACAACATCGGATTGTTCAGAAATCTGCGTTACCGACGGCCGCATATCGATTATCGATATTGTATTGAATATTAATTAATCAAAATGACACCGAGAAGAGAGGCCGCTGATTAGCGACGCTTTCGAGTTTGACTCGTCAGCCATTTTACTCTCATTCTCATTCTGGTGTTCATCGAGTTAGTGTCATTCTTTTTTGGTGAAATATTTCAAAATGTAAAATTAATAATTGAGGGATGGGTCGATGATCGTCGTCATCATTTAAATTCGAACGGTGAGTTCCAATTATTTAATTTTAGGGTCGTTTCCCTCCGAGTTGATCTTATTAATATAAAAATTAAATATTTATAAATTAACAATATAAATTTTGTCTTTCAGCCTTCTGCCAATTTGCAACTTTTTCTAAATTTTGAAGTGAATATTAATAAATAGTGTAATTGTTGTAAATTTTAAGTTGTTTATCTTCATCCCCTCCTCTTTGAGGTCTATTGTTGCTGTAAGGTGGCAATAGTTCCAGAGCTGATTTTTCCTATGTAAAATTGTAAAATTTTACTTTGTCGGGTTATTTAACTATTTTTTGGTTTAGTTATTTTCCATAAAATAAGTTAGCGCCTAACAAAATTAAATAAGTCCAGATAACGTGTTTTAAATGGAAAATATAAAAATAAATTAATCTCAAAATCACGTTCTAATAAATAAAAATCTATATATTAATTTAAATTTTAAAAAATTTGGAAATTTGACAATTATTTAAAAAATGAAACATTCTAAAAGTACTTAAACTTAAAAATTAATTCCAATAAATAACCATGTATTTTGAGCAAATTTTTAAAAAAAGCAAGCTCACTATATTTGATTTTGTTTTCCACATTTCATCTATTGTAAAAAGTGGAAAAGTTTTAAAATATAATTTCTATTTCCAATGAAAGTGCACTTGCTAATTTAATGCAGGGTTAACAGACTGCGAATAATCAGAATTCCCCAGTGTGCGGGTGGGTTTCTATCAGTCTTTACGAGCCGGAGACATTTTGAAACAGAATCGTTGACGCTCACTCTATGCAGTATTTTCGTTGAAATTGTGAAACTTTGATAGAGAAGGGTCAACGTTTTGGCGTAGAGCAAAATACGCTCAGCAGACCCACCCAATTATACGTTTAATTTAAATTAAATTCAAAGGACTGAATGTGTTGGAGTATATTCAGAAGATCGTTCAAATCAAATATTTTCCATACATATACACATTTTTAAACAAATTAATTACATCATTATTATTCATTACATTATGCACCTTTAAATTTACTCTCCTTAATTTCAAAAAATTCACTTAACAATTACGATACTGTTTTTAGGTGATTTATTGGAGATTTTAATTTCCGATGATTATTTTTATTTATGAAAATGGAAGTTACTAAAATTACAGAATGCATTTATACTTTCGCATACAATTCAATATGAGGTAAAAGCACCAGTACCTGGACAAAGCAAAAATTGAAATCAGTAGATAAAGTAATTACTCTGCATTTTGTATGAATCGAGTATCCAAGTTAACCTACCGTTTTTTCTGTTGTATTCCCAATAGTTGAACAAAAATTTCATTCAAACAATTTAATTAATATAATAAGTTTAATAAGATTTTAAATAAATTATTTACTTTACTAAATAATCAAATTAAATAAATTATCATTTAATTTATTTACATATTTAATGTCGACCAACTGGGCCTTATCATTTCCAACTGCTACGACTTTCGCAAATACCATGTCAAACTTCAGCTGCAAATGAGCAATTTCATTATTTCAAGATTTAATTTAATTAAAACATCTATTATGATTAATGTAATTAGTATCCTTCAGAGGTAAATAAAACGAAAATACAAACATTTTATCAATAATATTGAATTATTTTAGGACAAAACACCGATTTTAAGAAAAATTTAGAGAAGCTCGTGCAAAATGCAATAGAGATATTGAAATAGCTGGAACAGTGATAGATTATTCTGCATACATAAAAAAAGTAATAACGTTACTTTGAATGGATGAGTTAACTAGGCATAAAACTAGGCATCAATAGCAGTAGATCAACACAAAGAAATTTCAAGAACAAAGTATTAACATAATTAAATATTTGGAACTTGTGGGTGACACTGGATAGAAGAAAGGATCAAATAAAACGCATGAAATCAGTGAAGAAGTAGTTAAGTTCCTGCTATCTATCTAGTGCTGTCCAGCCGATATCACCTCACCAGCTAGTTGGCTCTCCTGGTATCTACATTGAGGTGAATTATCAAAATTTCAGAGGCTTGCGCACGAAGTTGAACACTTTCCACAAGTTACCTTATACTATCTCGTTTGATATATACATTTTCTTGGAAACGTGGTTCTAATAAATCAATAAAAAATGGTTCTTCTTCTTTTGCAGATCGAAATTTTAAGATTATTATCTGATAACTTCGACTTGATTTGTCAATCGAATTATTTTGTAAACAGTAAGGGATCTTTACTGAATTTAATTTTTTCAAATTCGGAAAATTGTACTGTTAACTTATTACCTTATGCGATTTTACTCGTAGTGATAGGAATCATCATTTGAAATTTTTATTCTTAATATCACGTCAAATCGTAATAATTACAACAAATTAAAATTGAATAATACTGATATGAAGAACATCAAAAAATCAAATAATAAAGTGATGATAAAGACATTGCCAACATGTTTTCTATTTTTTTCAAATCTGTATATAACACATCTAATAATGATGAGAATAACGTCATAAAACTGCATGACAGATATTGATTTTAATTTTATTTCCAGAAATAACATAACTAAAGAAATACTAAAGCTGGATGGTAGGAAGGGGACTGTGCAAAATGATATCCTACAGTCTTTTTGAAGTCGTGTTGTTTCCCCATTCTTGAACCATTATTTCTCATTTTTAATTCATCTCTGAAAGCAGCTTACTTTCCTCATTACTGGAAGCTGAGTATTATTACACCTATATCCATAAGGAGGGTGATAATAATTAGAATGTCAATGAAAATTTTTTTTAAGAAAAAAATGGAAAGATAAAGGAAATGGAAAATAAGCTGCCCTTCTTATTTTCTATTATATCATTTATTCAAAATATTGAGTGTTGAATTTTCTAAAAAAATAAGAATTTGCAAATTTATATTTGCCGTATGACAACAATTGATTCATTAGCAAAGGTTCTCCCTTTCCTTTACACTTGGGTTGGTTGTTCCATTATTCAATACATCATCCCTAATCATCCGTTTTTTGCAGCTAATAAAGAAACAGTGGACTTAATCTTACATGTAAACTTAAAAAAGTAAATAATAAATACTGAAAAAATAAAGTATAAAAATATTTGTGTCAGAAACAACGAATTTTATGAAATATTACTTTTGTGCTGGCAGTGCAATACTGTACTTGTAATTTTGTTGTTTTTCTAATAATAAAAAAGTAGATAGACAGTTATTGACATCAACTGCAATTAAAAGTGTAATTTTAACAATCAATTGAAGTATAAAGAATAAAATGAAGTTCGATAATTTATATTCAAACTTAAAAAATAAAATCATTATAAATTTCTATGGTATTATCTAACCCTCAAATTTTCTCCATTCATGGCCTCTATAGAAAATGTGAGTTAGAAACTCAAAAGAGATCGATCACTAAATCTTCGTTCTGCTTGGAAGCATTGGTGATGGACAGGCTAATTCGATGAAAATGGAAATTTGCTTCATCCACATATTCACGGATATCATCCAGAACCCTCTTTTATGTTGTCAAATCTTTCGTTTACCGGTCAAATACATCGATATTAGATACGGATGATTCGACAATAGAGGATATGAAATTTTTTACTCATCTAAAGTTGTCGCACTGATTTTATAAAAGCAGCCACTAGACCTGCTGACCGCTTTAAATCGTCCATAAATAACGCATTAGGGTCTCAGGGACCTGAGTAACGGGCACATCTGATTGTACCATTGATGACACGTGTTCAGGATCAATCTCCTAGAACGCGTGCCACTATTTTCGTATTATCGTCATAGGGGGGGATTTTCGATTTCTTTTTTTTAACAGATTTTCCACTTAAGTTCGCAAGCAAAGCCGATAAGCTTGAAAGTTAAACCAAACACTGGCCGCTTGTCACAATTTTTTGAAGCTAAGCATAGAATATCACCATGAACGGAAGACAATTTCATGGGATTATGGCGCGGATAGTAGTTGCTGAGGTGGATTATTTTTGTGGAGAATATTTTCTTAGATAAACATAGACATTTTTTTCCTTATATCACGAATAGTTTATTTTATGAAATTTGCTTAAAGTTAGTTAAAGCAGGTTTAACAATTTTGAAAATGAAATTTATGAAACTTATTTGAGATTTATTTAGACTTAATTCGATAGAAATAGTATAGATACAAAAAATAACTTAAAATTTTAAGTATTTTTATGTCGTATTAGTTAATAGACTATCGAATGATTCACCTAATACTTAATTAGTTTCAGAAATCCGGTTTTAACAATACGATAACATACATAAAAACAAACTTAAAGAATAACTTAATCTAAATTGCAAAAAAATATTCTTAAACTGGATTATAAATGTTAAAATAATAAAAGAGAAGAGTTTTATTTCAAAGCATGATGTCACAGCCTTTATTAGCAAAATGGTAAGAGAATTCATTCAGAAGCACCAATTAACGTATCCTAATTTTCTTCATCATGTTTAGTACACTGAGTCCAGGCAGTGGACAAGTAGGGTAGAAGTTATGGCATCCTTGACCTTCGAGACCTGATATTAATTGACCCATATGCGCAGCAAAGTGATATCTTGACGGAACTTCAGCCATAGTTGTTAAACTGGTGTCTCTGAAAAATAGTATTTTGTTTCTGTAAAATTATTCATTAAAAAAAATTACAATTACCAACTAAATTAATAACTGCGGATTCAATTTTACTAATATGTTTTTGTATAAAAAATTATTTCTAGAAAACGGAGAATAATAATTTAAAACTACCATAATCGAAATTAAATTATTATACTAATTCATGTACCGATTGAATTTATTTTTATCAGTTTATATAAAATTTGTTTTTCTTTAACATAGTGAAACAATTATTATATATTTAACTGTTAAAAATTTGCGCGTTTTTCTTCCTTTTAAAAAATGCATCAATAAGAAACAAAAGTGAGTAAGACACTGCCAGTTTTGGAACCAGAAAATGAGATCGTCATCGTAGCGATGCTCATTCTTCACGATGTACTTAATGTCCCGGAAAGTTTCGAGCTTTATATTTACTTTTATACGAACGTAAACGCACGTAACGCGAATACCGCCATGTAGCGCAGCGGGGTGATTTTATTGGTCAGATCGTGTTGAGTTAAACCGATCAAAATGGAGAAGCTAAAAAGCCTCTGGCGTTTATTCGTTATTTCTATACGAGACGTACGTCGAACTACCAAGTATATCGAGATCGTAAAGAATCCCCTTTTCGACAAAGAGGACTTCTTTGCCAGGATCTATAGCGCATAACGGAACTCTTCCTTTTGCTTCCGGTGAAGCACTTTCGTCGGGACTCGGAAATTACGAAACATCCTTATACCAATCAGACCATGACGCACAACTGTATACCTGCTCTATACTCTAAAATTTAGTATGTCTGATGATGTTTTAGGAGTTTCCGAAAACATTCATTTTTCCCAATTTCGTATACTATTTATAATTTTGTATTGATTAGGACTAAGCTTTTTATTTTGTAACAAAAGGGAAAGTTGGTTTGATTTTGGATTCAATAGAAGTAATTTTGCATTCATTAGTTGTGTATGATCCGATTAATTTCGGATTAGACCGAATTAATTTCGGATTTACTATAGTTACGCAAATAATACTAATTTTGGACTAATTCCGTATAATAGAAACCCGACTCTAAAGCGGACTGTTTTGGATTAATTACACATTCCGAAATAATTACCAAAGTAGTAACTATTGGTCAGAAGGCAACATGTCTTTTACGCCGACAGTGAACAGTTCTTATAGAACTTGAGACTCATCTCAACTGTGAGAGAACTGCACCTAGCGGCATAAGTAGGAACTGTAATGAAGCAGCAAAACCTAACTAAATCCAGATTTTTGCAGACTAATTACGGATTTAATACATACAGAATGTCGGATTATACTAGACTAATTTCGGATTCAGATTTTTAAACAGACTGAATGTATCTATATTGTACGAAAGTAGTCCAAAAATGATCATATGAAATATTCCAGATTAAATAAGGATTATTGTGGACTAATACCGGATTTTACACATAAAGATTTTAGATTATTACGAACTCATTTTGGATTCAGTTTTTTGACAGTACTTAATCCTGATTGTTGCGTACTGTTTGCGGATAGTTTACATAAAAATTCTCAATTATTTTAGACCCATTTTGGATTGTTTTTTGATCTAACTAAAATCAAATTATTGCGGGCTAATTGTAGATTTATTTCACATCAATTTCGGACTACTCCGGACTGATCTGAGATTTATCTTTTCATCCAGACTGATTGCTGACTAATACGGATCATTTTTGGATTGTTTTCGTACAATTTCTGGAAATTAGTCCAAAATTTTAATCAGGGTATTTTTTGAAAATAAGTATTTTCGACCCTCTTGTTTTTAGAGGGAACATCGGGCATACGTTAAAAGAGATTTTACAAAAATATAAGTTGGAATAAGCTTGAAATTGTGCTATAACTGGTTTTCAGAAACAAACCCTTACAGAATCCAATAAAGGTGTAAGTCAAAAAGCTGCTCATAAGTAACTTTTCAAAAAAGTCATTATAAAATAAAATTGGTCTAATCTTTCGATCATTGTAGACCAAAAACAGTTAATATGGCTGTTTTGACAATTCTTCTATATTTTAATTATCATTACCTGATTAAATTCAATAATGTCATTTCCATCTCCGTCAGTTGTTCTTGATATACATGTGATGTCAATTCGCAAATAAGTTTAGGCAAGCAAGCAGTCTTGATCGTTGTCATCATCTTTGAACGTCGAGAAATAACTGCAGATTAATTTTACAATTTGTATTACTATAAATTTTGCTGTAAAAATAATAAAGAATAAGAATTTTTCAATTTTTTCTAAAATTATATAAACAGTTTGACAATTTGTGAATTAGTTACCAGAAATGATTATTTCTTTAAATTTCTAGAACAAAAAAATATATTAAACCGTTTTTATAAATAAAAAAATCACTTGGAATGAATGTACTCCTTAAATGAAAAAATGTAAAACAAGTACGTGATACAAGTAAGTTAAATATTTGACTTATGATTCATGGTATTAATATATATATATATAGTATTAGTATTGTGTATGTAAACTTTTATTTTGTTACCATTCTTGTCTTCGATAGCCACCTTAACCGCTACCTTATACACTTTATCAGAAGAAATATCTTTTTTTGATGGACCCTTCAATCTTTTAAATGTCGAATTACGTTCTGAGTTACTTCCAAAAATTGTCGATATCAATGAACTGTAATCGCTGGCAAAAACCAGAAACATTCCCAAAAATATCACAAGACGAACTGTCCCTGTGTCCATTATTTCAGCATTGCCATAAAAATATTCTGTGAAGAAAATATATGTAATTAGTCATTAGCATTATTTATAATACTAAAATTAATAATCGGACGATGTCCCAGGTGACGGTTTGGGTATGTATAATTTAAAGCAGACCAATTTTTTTGTTACGATCTTAGATAGTAATAAGTCCAAATCAGGAACCGTCACAGAAACAAAACAAAATTCAAAAATACTTTTGTTTTATTTCGGATTAAGTTATCACAATCAAAAGTCAACTTTATTTAGTTTTGATTTGAATATTTAGATTAATTTTGATTCGAATATTTGAATCAGAAGTGAATTTTGTTTAGGTTTTGATTCGACTTCTGTTTTAATCAGGAAAACAAAACGAAACTAGAATAGACTTTTGTTTCGGTTCCAGTAACAAAATACGAATTGACTTTTGTTTCAATCGGGGAATCGAAACTAATGTGTGGAGTAGACTTTTGTTTCTATACGAAATTCGAATTAAAATTTAAATTCTATAGGAAAACCGAAAGTAATGAGAAGTGGACTTTCGTTTCATTACTGAAACAAAATCAAAATACAATCGTATTTTTGTTTTGTTTCCGAATATCGAAACAAAAACAAAATTCAATTTCCGTGAAGGTCTAAATCTGTTTTCGAAATTTTCTCCGCAATGTTAAGTTTCCAAAATATATAATCAGTGATTAGGTAGGGCTTCATATGTTATCCTAACAATATATAAATATTTTGAATAAAATATCGATTGAGTTGAACAAATATTAAAAAGATTTGAATAAATCAAATACAACAATTGATTTGACTAAATATATTCTTAGAACAAGAAAATTGTTTCATCAATTAATATATTTTACACTTCTTACAACCTGATTAATTTCTTAATCGAATTCCATATATTCTTGGATCAAGAACATATATGTTCTCCTTCCTAACATACTATGTATAGTAAAATAGTTCTCTTGAATCAATCCCATAATTTACTCTAGCTTATTCAATCCCACCTTTTACTTGAAGCAAGTAAAATTCTGACTTCGAAATTTTTGTAACTAATTTTTTACACATAATTCTCAATAAAAGTAGACCCAAAAATCTTTAGTTTAAATATTTAATGGCACTTTACCTTATTTATGAACCTTCTGGAATACGTTTTAATAGTACTAAAAAATGTAATTGAAAAGTAGTTGCCCTTGGAATAAGTTTTGCCTTTCATATTTGTTATCAAAGTAGAAACAACTACTACGAAGTTGTGACTTTTGCTACCAATAGAAATATATTCGAAGTTCAATGTCGTATGTTAATGAGTGTTTATACTTTCATCATTAGATAGTATTAAAAATATATAAAACGCGCATTTTAACGTGGGCAAACTGGACAAAGATCTAATTCCTACTAGATCGAATATCGACCGATTTGTATGAAATAATAATCAACTTTAAAACCCTTAGAGTAAGAATTTTTTAATAACAAATTGTTCGCCATATTGAATTCACCATTTTTAATTTTTTTTAAATTAAATATAACATCCTCTATTTCAAATCGCGAATAATGAATGTGCAACGATTCGTCGCACCTTCATAGTGAGTGAAAATAATGTGAAAAATAAAAACAAATTACTGTTGAATAGCGAGTTAATTAACTATACTCAATAATTGATTTTTGCTGTTTTGTATTAAATTAGGTTGCAATTATTAAATTATTAATAATTAAAGTGAACGATGTTTGTCAATGAGTTCAATAGTTATTAATAGTTATTTTATGTTTATTAATATTATTGTCATTAATTATAAAATTAACAAATATTTTAAAAAAATATTGTTAAATTGAAATAATAAATAAATATTTATTATTTTGGTAACATTAATAATTGAAGGGTAGAATGACAAAAGGGGTCAAGCGCCAATTTATCGAAAATGAGGTTTTTGCATAAAAAAATCAAGAAAATTCATTTACACATTTCTGTTGAAGGATTTCCTTTTTTATTGCGTATTTAAATCAGTTTTTAATAAAAATTAAATTAATAAAATAGCCTCAAATTTACTTTATTGCAACCTGATTGAAAAACAAAAGAAAGTGGTGAGTCAATAATATTATCAAAATAAAAAAAATATTATTTTTTTAGGTTTTATTTTAATATTTTATTTTAATTTTATTTTAATAATATTTTAATTAATAAAATTAATAATAATAATAATGTATTTTCAATTTTAAACAATTTTAAAATCATTTTGTTATTAATTTTTAAATATTTTTATGGTTATACTAAGTGAACAATTGAATTTAAAGATGAAAGTATTGCTCAATTCCAAAGCAAGCAATTAATTCGTAATTTTCTTGAAAACAAACAATTTTTTAAAGGAATTTTTTTTTCTATTCATTTCGTCGATTCCATAGAAAGAAACTAATTTTCCAGTTTTTCATTAAACTGTATATTTTTTTTATAATTAATGTTTAAAGAAAATGTGCGCAGTTGATATAACCTCAAGGAACCACAGTTTTTTTTAATTTTATCGTTAATATGTAGGTTTATTTCAACAAATTGTTGTTTATTTATTAAAACATACTAATATATCGAAACGGTTTTCTCAGTTTTTTTTTAAATGACCTGCAAAATTTTTGAAAATGTTTTTTTTACTTCCTGTAAAAACAGTGAATTGGCGCTTGACCCCTTTTGTCATTCTACCCTTCAATTATATACTGTAAATATTTATAAAATAATTTCTCACAGTTTTTATTCAATTTAAATTTAAATACTTTTTCACTATTAAAAATAATAAAAAGTCTGACCCTATTAAACTCACTATCAAACATCATTCAGTTTAATTATTTATAATTTAATAATTGCAACTTAATTTAACACAAACAATGCAAAAATCAGTCATTTAGTCATTTATTTAATTCAACAGTAATTTTCATTCATTTTCCACAGTATTTTCACTTACTATGAATGTGCGACGAAATCGTTGCACATTCATAGTTTGCAATCCGTCAGGGAACTGGAATTTTTTTATTGTTGGTAAATGTCAATTTTAATCACAAGTTTTTTCTCAGTAAACCTACATTGTTTATGACAAACAATAATTTTTTTCTTTATAAATTATTTTTATTTTAATGAATTTATTTTTCATAAAAAGTTCAAGAGAGGCTTTTAAAATTATTAAACCCATATTGATAAGTCTTTTAGTTGCAAAATTTATTGTATTATGCAAATTAAAACAAAAATTATGAATATATATTTTAATTTTTAGACTTGAAAAATAATTTTGTCTATTTTATAAATCGTAATAACAAAATATACTTTTAAAATTTTAACAATAAAATAATTTCACCACTAAGAAATTTTACAACAATTTAATAATATTTAAACAAAATTTTGCAAATAGTACCTTTTTAAATATATGAACTCTTCCTCTACACAAATTGGCACATGGACGCAAACTCTTACATGTATTTTCAATGTAACTGTAACAAAATTAAAATTTCTTAAGTAATTAAATGATTAACATATTATTAAATAGTTAAATAATAATACATTAATAAATAATCAAAAATTTCAATTTAAACCTTTCACATTCACATCACATACTTCCTGTTTTTACTTATACAATCTAAAAAACTCCAAAAATTTTGACTTTAGAACAAAAGTTATCAAAAAATTGAAAAAAATTTCAAGAAATAAAACTGCAAAATTTGTTTTGTAATCACACGAGAAAAAAAGGAACTATTACTCTTTAACTTTCACAAAAGAATTTTATTTTATAGTAATGCTGCTTAGAAATATTATTTATTATTTCTCTTATCATACACTATTGTTTCTTTACCGTAATAACAAAAAGTATGTAAAGGACTTTTGATGAAGCTATAAAATATGAATAAATTTATCCGAAGAATGATTACTTTTTTAATATTAAATACAATAACAAGAAATTTTGTAATTCCATACCGGCAGTAAACGTGTTCCTGCCGTAATGCCTCACAGGCAGGCAATGACTGCTGATCATTGGAAAGTGCAAGTTGGCTAACAGTACAGTACTCCGAAAAGTTGTCAGTGAAAGTTAGTTAATCTTGTAAAACTATATTGCGTTGCTGATGGCGTATATGAATTTGGAAAGTGAACGTGATTTCAGAGGTCTTTATATTCTACAGCATGTGTTGAAGCCGGAAATTTTTTTAAGAATTAAAATTCACTGATTAATTAATATACAGAGCGCAGATTTAGATGGCTATATTGATACCAGTAGCATGGCTGAAGAATAAATAGTAATCTAAATAATTAATGTATTTGTTATTTCTAAAAAATTTTTAAGACTTAGGTGTGTCTTATTTAACCAACAAAAAAATTAAAAAATAAATTTAAAATAAAATAAGCCGAATACAAATAAATAATTGACAAGTTTAAAAACTATTTTTAAAAAGAGTAAAATGTAAAAAATTAATTCAGTTAGTTCCCTCATTTATTCATTGAGATTAATTTTTACACATTCATATGTTTATAGCTGTATTCATTTTTACACATTGACAGTTTTTATTTAGGTTCATTATTACTTAATAAGTGTGTTTGTGAAAAATTAACCGAAATAAAATAACTGAAAATTTGTTATAAATCTGTACAATTTTTACAGCTTCTGATTTTGAATATTTCAGTTTTTTTTGTAAAGAATGATTAACCAAAAATATTCAGATATGTTTCAAATTACAAAGTTATTTCCAATTCTTAAACATGTGAATATTTATGACCGTCAAGTAAGTTTTCATAATTAATGTTCAATATTTTATAAAAATATTTCATTATAATTTTTAATTTCTTCATATAATTTATTTAGTCCTTTATACGTGCATACGTTCTGGATAATGGTTTTGTGTGTATAATAGCTTATATTTTGTTCTACGTTGCTCTTTGGTATGCAAACAAGGTGAGAAAATTTTAGATTTTATTAATATAAGTTTGTGGTAAGTCATTTTTTTTTATTAAAATTAATTATTTTAAAATTTATAACAACACAGTCTTCAATAAATAATTGTAAAAATAAAAGACATGTTATTTTACACAACCTCAAACATATACTAATTAACAAAATATTTATTTAAAATTATAGTGAACTTTACAGAATTCCTTGAAAAAAAAATATCGTAGATATTTTTAAGAAAGAAACATTTTTTTACGAATAATATAGGAACTATAGAAGTTTTTGAAAATTTAATTATTTAATTTGATTAACATTATAATTAATTATATTATACTAATTTATAATTATTAATTTACATTATTTAGGTTATGCAACGTGTAGAAGAGACTAATCAAAAAATGCAGCTGATTTTGGAAAAAAATCGATCGGTTAGTTTCTGCCTTGTTTCTTCTAATTGATATCTTATACAATTTTACACTTAATGCCAACCCAAGCAGCACGGTATATCCCCTGAATATCCCTTGAATACCACCGTGGAATATTCCCATGATCTTCCAGGAAAATCAAAATGTCCGCATCATGGAAATATTCCACAGTGACATTCAGGGTATGAGACATTGAGAGTAATATTAAAGGAATATTCCAGTGATATTGAGGGAATATTCCACGGTTATATTGAATTTTTTTTTAAGTGTTGAAATAATAGAAATGTGTTATAAATTGTTATTTGAATAAGCAGGAAGATTAAAAACACATTTCAAAAAAAAATTCAATGTAACCGTGGAATATTTCCTCAATATCACTGGAATATCCCTTTAATGTCACTGGAATATTCCATGAATGTCACCGAGGAATATTCCCTCAATGTCACTGGAATACACCCTGAATGTCACTATGGAATATTCCCATGATGCGGACATTTTGATTTTCCTAGAAGATCATGAGAATATTCCACTGTGGTATTCAACGGATATTCAGGGAATATACCGTGCTGCTTGGGGAATGATTTGAAGGAAATACAAAGCTATAGAATACATTTTTTAAGAAGAGCTTTTTAAGTAAATTTAATACCCTATTTTATTTATTTTATACGTATTCTTATTAAACCTCCAAGATATTTGTCTTTTTTAATATTTAAAAAAAAGTTTAAATCTTTTTAACAGATTATTATTTATGCAAATGTGGAGGATCAGTTTTATCTGTTTACCATTTGTAATAATAATGTCATTGATATAACCTCCTCTAGCCCAGACTTCTTTGGCTTTTTGTATCTGTTATTGATTGTTTAATAGCAAATTCATCTGTCCTGTTTTGGACAAAAAAATAGAAGCGATTGTTTTTTATTATTTTGAGGGAAATGGAAAATCTATAACCCTTGAAGGCCTACTTCCAAGACAGATACCTGGAGTCCATAATCCTAGGTTATGTAGAGCTGAACATTCTTGATCTGGTCGATCTACTAAAAACCGCTCCCTTTAACTAGACCTTACTTGCTGAACCATCTTCCAACTTTTTTCAACTTCGCAAGTGTAGGTTCCCTTTCTACTTCCTTACCTTAAATCCAAAAACTGGGAGCTAGAAGAAGTGGAAAGAGATCAACAACGTGTTCTCTTCCTTCTTCCGCGAATACCCAGTCGAACATTAAGATTTCTCCTGGGTAACCTCATCTTATTGTCGGAGTCCTTAATCTTAACTACTTGAATGATAAAGGATAAGACACGCATTGCTCTCGTAGAGAACCCATTTGTCGCTAAGATACATAGTTGCCCTAATATCCAATTTTTTTCAGATGAATTGCTGTAATATTATTTGTTTTTTAATTTTTGTAAACTGTTGTCAGCATAGCGCAGCCATTTACAACTCGTGTGAATTCCGCGATGGTATCCCAGTGGGAAAAGAACCATGTTCGTTCTAAAAACGTTTTAAGAACATGGATGTTCAAATAATGTTCCAGAACATTATTTGGCAGACATGAAACGTTCTTAACTTTTTTAAAACGAACATGGTTTTTTGCCCACTGTGATATTAATAATTAAAATAAAAACACAAAATATCCATCCATTAATTACATATATTTAAATTGTCTAAATTAGAAAAGTATTAATCGTTACAAGGTTTTTATCAAACGACGTCACGCATTACATCATTTTGCTTCGGGATCCAAATATTTCCGAATCATGTTTCAGCATAGATCACTCGATCAACACAACTACATTCACACAAATGACGTGATTAATAAGACTACACAATTGATATTTTACATAGACAACTCAAAATTGACAAATGAAATCGTATATTGTTTCCTTTATATATATTTAAAATCTGAAGTTCATATTTAAGAATCTAGATGGAATCCTAAATGATTTCCTATATTAATACTTTTTTGTAAGATTTTATATATTTCTATGTGAGATCTGGAATTTCATATAGGTTTTTATAGATGAACGTATTTGGGATCCCATGTAGCTTGTCAGGTAGGAATTTTCAATATAGGGTAGACCGAGCCTAGTAAATGCGAAATTAATCCTGTTCATGTACTGTAGGTTTATTCTATTTTCTCCTTCTACTCTATTCATAAAATACCCTCCCAGCACCGGATATTTAAGGATATCCCTGGGACATTCCATATATATATCCATTTGCTTCCGTCGGTTTGGATATCCCTAGGATATCCAAGTGATATCATAGGACATCCCCAGGATATCCTAGGAATGTCCGAATCGCCGGAATCAAATAAATATCTCTAGGATGTCCCAGGGATATCCTTAAATATCCGGTATTGTGAGGGCAGTCACATAAGTTGATATATTTCACCATGTTACATTTAATTATTATGACCTAATATAAAGTTATTCTATCATACTGATTTATCATTTTAGAAATTGGAAGATGTTGCTGCTTTGAAGAATAAACGTTCCGAGTTTGAAGACGTGGTGGTTAAAGTAGTTAGTTTTAACTCAATAAATAATTACTATTTTTCTCAAGATATTTTAAGTAACTTAAATGAATTTATTTGTTCTGACTATGCCAATAAATATTTTAGCAAAAATTTTAGGTAAAAAGTCTATCTGATTAAATTTATTTTACACATAAAGACATTGTATACCTTACTTGACTAATCTAAACGAGAAGGATTCCAGACTATTTCGAACTCTGCTTCCAAATACAATTTTTTTTTTGCTTTGTGCTATTCCAGAAAATTTATAGTATATGGCATTTTGGAGAATATTGGAATCGACAATTTAAATAAAAACTAATGAATAACCCGGTATTTAGACTTAACTATTACATTAAAAGAACGCTATTTGGAAGGAGATTTTGATATAATAAATTACATTTCTGAATGCTATTTTGTGCTTTAATCTAAAATTTGCGCTAAAAATAAATTAAGCAATGGAACTATGCAAAATGAAAATAATACATAATTTTTTATAGAAAGAGGCACAGAAAATAATAAAACAACAATTGGACGTAGATGTACGTGTAAGAAAATATACATTAGTTTTTTTAAATAGAGGGAAAATTAATAATGAAATTAAATAATGCTGAACAATAGAATGGTTATTTATAATAACAGTATTTATCATTTATTTATTTATGTAATATTTTTAGATAAAAAAGGTAAATGATGAGTTGACCTTAACAGTAAACAAATTGTCGGACTTAGAGAAGATTGTTAATAAAGTAATTAAAAATTTCTATTAGTTATAAATTTTTCTAACTTCTAACCTTGAATTTTTTGTTCTTTTATTTCTATTAACTATTCTTTTTCGATATTATTTTTACGTCAGGTATTTTTACTGGCGCCATTAGGCCATTACTCTTCTTTATAATAAAATTTATGTCATAAAATATATTTTAGTGGAAATTATGGAAGTCAAATTTTAAGCCCTTAAACGGTGACATGAAGACTCAGGATGACAATTGTTCAAAAGAAATTGAAATTTCCAAACAAAGTGATTCGGAGTTTATAAAAGTACATATCCTATTAGTAGTAGAAGTTTTTCTAGTATGTATAATTATTTTTTCGATTTTGGAAAATAGGTTTTATGATCTCTTTATGTCATTCGTACTTCAAAATAGTTAAAATAAAAAACAATTAAAAATTAACTTATGTAGAAAAATCACACTTTCATAAACATTTTTACAAATTCGATTGAAATTGGCGCCAAAATTACTCAAAAATTTTGTATGTTAAAAATTTATTGATAGAACATAAACACTAAATTTAAAAAAAAATAAATTTATAATTAATATTAACAAAAATTAATTACTTTTTAATATTACAAAGGTTCTTGAGCCATCATTTGAACCAACTGCATTGCCTGAACCCCCTCCAAGAAAATATGGAACATTTGCAAGACGACCACCAGGCCGGAGACCAGCATCATTTTCTAAACCACAAGTGTCCACTACGCTAACAAGTCAGCCGATCGAATTCTAAAATTAGTTTTTACAATTATAAATACACTAACTTTATTAGTTTTTACTCAAAAGTAACATTTTTAATCATAGAAGCTAAATTATTCCATGCAAAAGTAACAAATTGTTATTCCATGAACTTAAAATTAAAAAAAAAATTGTAGAACCATTCTATTCATTCATTATACTTTAGAAATATGCAACCAGCCTTACTGCTGTGTTTAAAAAAGATATTAAATAGGATCCATTTTTAAATTTGCCGCTTTCAATTTTGATGCGCGCGACACTTGACACCGTTCACGTGCCTTTATAAAGACCGAAATTTTAAGAACGTAGGTGTAAAAATCTTAAAGGGGACATTATTCCATATTTAGCATTATTTTACGTTTCTACCATTATTTATTGTTAATTTTAAATTTTCAATAAAATATTTGTTACAATTAATTAGTAATCAAAATTTTATATATAAATGTTTTTGAATTTCATCGATAGCTCAATTTTGAAGAAAGTTTACAATTTTTATAAGTAATTTGTTAAGAATTTTTATGATAATTGTTAATTTTCATGATTAAATGTAGAAACATAACCTAAAATTTTAATAATTGTTAAAATTAATTAATATTAATTATTTGAAAACCTATACAAGATTTTAAATCGGAAAAAATATACAGATATAAATCTAATTAATAAGCGAGTACGATTAACAAATTGTCGTTCATATTAATTTATAACAAGAAAAATTCTAATTTTTTTATCAAATGGAAAGTTCAGCTGGGCCCAAATAGACTTGAAATTTATGATAGGAGATCTTAAATCTAATTTTCATATAGTACAACGCACTTGAGACACTTCATTATTATCTTGATTGTTGTCTCTCAGTTAAGACACGCGGTGTCGTCAAAACGTCTGCGATTTTGCGTGCTTTCACATGCACAAAGTGCAGTCGTTTGTTCTCGCCTGTAGTTCACGCCCTGAATTTGCATCTGTGAAACATTAGCATAGACCAACTTACTCGCTAGAGTGACTTTCAAGTTGAATGAGTTATTGCCGAAAGGGTTAAATTATGTACGGAATTATTCGGGCGTCGAATTTATGCGCTGTTGATGAGTGATATTAATTACCAAAGAAAACGAAAGCAATGGCTGCAAACGATATATATTTATAAAAGACAGTGACATTTGGCTATAATTGCTATATATGTTAATTTTCAATATTGTTAAGTCATTTAAATTTCAACAGTAATTCCATTTTAGACAAAATTACATGCAATACCATATAATCTTTTATTTCTTATTATTATTCCTTTTTTTAAAAGTAATAGTCCATTAAGTTTCAAAATTTTTAAAAATGCTTTAAGTCCATTGTGTTTTGATACAGAAATCCAAGATTGTGATTACAATTTTTGAAATATGAATTCCTATATGAGCTTGGTATTAAATACGGAGTTTTTCTATAGGAAATCATAAATGGAATTCCAAGTGGTATAGTTATTGGTTTGATTTTCAAATTGACGATCGCAAAGATTAAGAGGATTTAATTTAAAATCAAATAATTTAGTATTTAACCCCTTCGCAGTGTAGCAAAAATAAAGCTTCAGTGCCCCGTATGTGGGAAAAAAAATTTTTTTTTTTTAAATTGATATTAAAAAAAAACCGAAAATCTAAGAATACCCATTGACAAGTTTATTGTATTGTTAAAATAATGAAGTAAACGATTATTAAAATAATGAAGTAAACTATTGATAATTTATCATATTTTGTGTCTACTTATTTTTTTTGAGATGCCTCTATAGCGGTCATGCACACTGGTGGCACGACATTTTTTTGCCTCTATAGAGGTCAATAACAGTGAAGGGGTTAATTGCATTGATAACACTGTAAAAATTAGCAGTCTTAAAAGTACAAAAACCGTTTTGTACCCTCATAACAAAAGGATATCCCTAGGATATCCATGGGATATCCATATCAATGGTCGATATCCTAGAATGGTCCCCAGGATATCTTAGGATAGCCAAACCGCCGGTCTGTGGGACATCAACAGGACATCCATAGGATATCCCTAAGACATCCACAAAATATCTATTGGATATTATATCGCAGGATATCCATGGGATATCCTCAGGATGTCCGTGGGATATTCTTATGATATTCACGGGATATTTAATATCTCAACATATATTTTTAAAGGTTAAAATTCTTAAGATAATATAATGAATAATAATATAATAAAAACAAAAATCTTATCAGCTTCTAATTTATTTTAAATGAAGATTTGAAACGCATTTTTCAAAGTTTTTAAATAAACTCATGCACTTAATGTATAATTAATATTAATAGTTATTCGTTATCTGCGGGGAAAAATTTACATTGTTTAAAGCCAATTTATTTTCTGACAATATTAAGCATATGAATAAAGGAATGTATCACGAATGAGAAAAAAATTAGTTAATAATTTTTCAAATTAAACAACTTTCTCGAAAAACAAGTTGCATTTTATTTTATTTATATAAAATTTAATTCTCAGAATATTCTCACTCGTAGTCTCATAATGACTTTAAAAACAGTATCCTGAGAATATCTTCTTGACATCCTGAAAATATCTGTGGGATATCCTGACGATATCTATGGGATATCCTGATGATATCTGTGAAATATCTAGAGGACATTTATGAAAGTCTATAGAGATATCCAGAAGATATCCTGTGGATATCCTCAGATATCCATGGGATATCCAAAGGATATCCAAACCGCCGATTTTTTTGATATCCTTAAGAGATCCTTTTGATATTAGAACATCCCTAGGATATCTGCGGGATATTATCAATATATCCCAAGATATCTTGTGTTATTAGGGTATTAAGACACATTTGGTGATTCAAATAATCCTTTAATGTAATTAATTTTTAAATTTACTTTGAAGAATCTCTTATATTGGCTTCTGATAATCCTTTATTACCTTTGGGTATCCTTTTGACTTTTCTGCAGTGGAGCTGTTCACAAAATACGTAACGCTTCCAGAGGGGTGGGGAGGGGGTCAAGCTATTTGTTACGGACAGCCAAAAAAATGGCACTAATGTATGTAACTGACCGCTACATGGGGGAGGGGGGGGGGGGTTTAAATTTCCAAAAAAAAAGCGTTACGTATTTCGTGAACAGCCCAAGTAAGAAATTTATTGTCCTTGTGTGGCATTGATTTTATGTCATCTAGAAAGATCGCATTACTCGGATGATATAACTTGCGTAAGACCTAAATTCTCTTACAGTGACGGAACAGGTGTCTTTTTACTTGCTGCACTTTTACTGCGTTATACACTTACTGTGTTGTCACTGTTATACGAAAGAAAAGTTCTGATGATTCAAAAAGTTATAATAATTTTTACAGAATATAATTGCGAATTAAAAATGAAAGTGTTCTTTTGGTAAAATTTCTAAAATAATTTGCATATCTTTTCATGGTGACGAAATATGTTACTGGTGTAGGTGACGTCTTGATAGCAAGAAAGTTATGACCTTGCCATTACATCTCATCGTTATGCTTGAATAACAGTCACCTTATATATATGTACAAAATGCAGACTTAAGAAATGAACTGCCAGAAGGGGAACAAAACTTTCTCTTTAAACTGTCTCCATACTATCTCATTGAGAAACATTCAACATTAGGTTTTGATCAAAGCAAGAGTCACTTTTACTGTTAGTTATTGATCGGTGATAAATAGATGTTGTTAACTTATTATGTGTTTGTGCATTGTGAGTTTTGTATTGCTTCTCTAATCATTTGCTAAACTCTTACTTTCTTTCCTGTATTTATCAGTGACAGGAAAGTAAGCTGAATGCTTGCTTGCAGTGTAGTGACGTCGTGAAATATAAAAAAAAATAAAGTGAATAACAAATTTTGTGTTGTTTTTTAATTAACATAACAATAAAACCATTAATTAATATTCAAATTTTAGAAATTAAATTTAAATTAATTTAAAAAATAAAATTCAATCGCATAAAGATAATTTTGTTAATAAAAAGCTGCTGAGTGTAATTATTATTGTTGGGTAGATAGTTTGGTAACGGAACGTTTTAACCCTTTAACACCCAGTGATTTCGATCACTCGATACTCCAAATAGGAGTAACTTTATAATGCTTCGCAAAAAATATATATAGACAATAAATGTCAACTGGTATCAGTTTTTTCAAAATTCAAAATGATGGTTTCCATATATCAGACAAAAATTAAAAAATTTAAGCTACTCTCATAAAAATGACTAGTGGGTTTTTGAAGTTCCTGATTTTGAAAAACTGATATCGAGTTCATAATTACCGACCCCGAAAACCAAAAATAATTTAAGAATTGGTAAAATTTGCATTACTTTAAAAAAAAGTCGGTCGTTAAAAGGTTAAAAAAATATATTCATAGTTTATTAAGTTTTAAGTTTGACTCTGGCAATTTAGCGGAATACATGTGGTGGAAGTAATTATCATTTAGAAAATTTTAAAACTCGTTTTTAATTTATTTAAACCATAGTTTGTAGAAAGCATCATGATTAAAGATTCACTACAATGGAAAAGAAATTATTTGCGTTCATCAATAATATGTCTATATTTTTTTAATTAAAAATAAAAAATTCAATTGTACGAAATATCATTTTTAAACTTATTTTTTATAAATAACCTAACAAAGAATTAATTTTTAGTAGATTACGAAATTCAATAAAGCGTATCGAAAAGGAAATACTTGATTTGACATATATATATTTTAATTTTTAAATGAGTTCAAAACTTGGGCAGAATACATACTTTATAATTAAAAAAAGAAAAAATAAGGACTGGAGATGACTGTTTAATTTATAATTATAGTTTAGATTTAATTTTTCTACTTTATATGAATACTATTGTTTATAATTATCATTTTTAGGTAGTACAAAATGCAGTTAGCCATAACGTCAGTACTTATAATATGCTGTTTCATTTCACTAATGTGTGTGACAGGAGCAAGCACTCCTGAAGAACCCTTGTTCGAACTTCCAGTTCAACTCGTTGGTTTTCCTGTCATCATCGCGGCTGTCCGAGTTTCAAATTTTGTTAAGAAACTCGCCTACTCTCTCAACCCAGGTATATTAAATTCAAAAATTTATGATATTGTTAAATAATAGTACATACAATGATAGAAATTTTTAATTATCGCAATTAAATAAACACAGTGAATTAAAATTTTTTTCTCTGTCAAAGAATTATAATAGAAAATAGTAACAATATATATGTTAGACTCCAAAGCCGAAAACGGCCAGAGGGTAAAAAAAATCATCAATTTGCAAAAATATCGAATTTTACGCTGTCCATCATCAATTTTTGTACTTTTAATTAATTTTTCCGTGTCTCCAATATTTAAAACATCAACATCAGTACAAGTTCTGAATAAATACTAATTAAAAATATTGACGGTTTCTAATTTTATACACAAAGCCAATTAATTAATTTTACTGTTTGAGCAATGCTAAAATCTGTAATATAGAAATCTGTTTTACCAATCGAAAATATACTTCGTGTCACCGACAGAAGGCACCACCTTTTACGCGGGGAATTAAAAATTGGCACCCACTTCCAACTTCCTTGATCATTCCCTCTAACCCACTAACTTGTATATGTCATTTCAACTTACCACCCACTTGCAACCCTCTTGGCTACCCCTTTCACCCACTAATTTGCATATGCCTTTTTTAAATTCTACCCTGCTCCTACCAACCTACTAATTTGCATATACACTGAAAAAACTTAGGGCGAGGAGGTGAACTTTAACGTTCAACTGTTGCGTTAAATGCAGGCAAATTTCACGCTTTCATTTTAGGCTAAGTTCTCTCTCTTTTAGTCGAGAGTCTTAACTTCTTAGTACTAATTCCAGTCCACAGGTGTCGGTTTCCTTTCTGCATTTTATAGGTTGGCAAAAAAAACGCTTCTTTTTGGAAGAACGTGTAGCCTAAAACCCAAAAATTCTTCCTTACCACCATAGTTGACGAATCAGTTACTGATTTCCTAGAGCAATAGCATTCAATCTGCTTGTGGATACATTTTTTTTGTCACCGAGTTTCAAGCGAATCTGATGAATTTAAAAAAAAAAGATTCGCTATATTGGATACGCCATTTTGAATTTTCAAACTTTTTAAAATTTTATTTAAAACACTGTCAGCCATTTTGAATTCGACATTTTCGATTACGATTTTCATAAAATTTAGAAATAATTTGTAATAGTTAATAAAGGTTTTTCTCGTTTGCCAAAAATTGGACTCTTTTAACATCCTCCTTTGTGTCCATCAGCAAAAACATTGCCCTAATGTATGTAAAAGACTGTGACATGGAGGAGGAAGGGTCAGAAAAGGGTAAAAACAGCGTGATTTTATCTTTTGTAAAAATATTATGATAGGTTAATAACAAAAGAAACAATTTATAATTCTATTATATTTTTATTTTATCACCTTTGAATATATACAATTCTCACATTTAATTCTTATTAATATTTACTAATTTAATTTAAATTCAACACTTTTGTATTTTCCACCTACTCATTTTACGTTGTAATTCTTTAAATGTAACAGCTTCTTCCATCATTGCGAAGAGGTCAGATTCCAAATCAAAATGTTTTGTAAACCTTGCTAGGAGAAATACTTTTCAATCTATATACAACACTAATCCCATACTCGGTTTAGATTTTTATAATTTCTGTTACCACATACATTCCAATTACCCACTTGGAAAGATTCCCCGGAAAGTGCCCCCTGGAGGCTCTATCAGAATTTCGCAGGAACTTCCAACGTAATTCCGTCGGAATTCCATCGGAGTTCCAAAGAATTTCCGATGGGATTCCGATGGAATTAGGACTCTAAATTTTTTGAAAAAAATTAATTGGAATTTCCGACGGAATTACGTTGGAAGTTCCGGCGGAATTCTGATAGAACCTCCAGGGGGCACTTTCCGGGGTATCTTTCCAAATAGGTATAATCTAAAGGACTTCGTTGAAGAAAAGATTTTCCAACCGTCCAAGATAATTGATTATTTTAAATTCATGTTTGAATATTTAGAAATAAAATAAAATTGTAACATAAAGTCTAGTTGAAAGATAGAAAAGTAAATTTTAATAGACAAAAGGAATATACCTACAAGAGGATTGAAGGCTACTGCTGCACGTGGTGTAGTTGTTGGTGCTGCTGCTGTGGTTTGCAGACGCTGCTGTTGAACTAGGAAATCAATAACAGATTTGTGAACTCTGGTCTTACGATCTGCATTATATCTCTTCAATCCCACTCGTTTCAAACTCCCACTTTTTTACCCCCAACTTAATAACTGCGCACACAAGTTCACTTTAACGTTGTCTCTGCATCTCCAATCTACCATAATAATGCGCGCGCAAGATACCAAACGCAGTAGACACAAAGATATTGTACAGCTAGATGCGAAAAGGACATTAGTTGCGAGTTCTCTTCATAGATGGCCAGCTCAGTTGTGAGTTCTATATTATTCAGAGGTCGACGCAGTCAAACACTGTGGCTTTAGATTTTTTTTTATAAAAATTTTTAATTCCATTGTAGAAAACAGTCATTTTTATTTAGTATTGTTTTCATACTATATTATTAAAACAGCGTCAATAATTTACAAAATTATTTTTCAAATTTTTTTTACCATAGAATTGAGCAGTATTGAAACATTCTTCCTTACCTACTGAAACCTACTGAAGATATTAGTCTTTTCCGTAAAATTGTTAAAAAATGTTTTTAAATATATAGGACCCTCAAGTCTCACTCGTATCTAGAGGGTTAAAAAAATGAATATTTTTAAATGAAAGTATACGTTAAAGTTACTTACGACTGTTGCTGATTAGCAAATGTTTACTGTCTTAATTCCATTAAGATTCAAATAAATATCCCTTTTTTCTATCACTTACACAAAAATATATTTTACAGAAACGTACAGAAGTCGCTCAAAACGAGACTTACTGCCCCTGATTGATGAAGAAGAGTTTGACATTGGACAAATAGAAAAGAAAATTGAAAAAGAATTTGGAAAATCTGTCTGCATATTTGAAGAAGTATGCACAAAATATGCAACGCTAACACTAAAAAAGAACCATAAACCACATAATTTAGACTGGAACGTTATTCTCAGGTAGGTTACTTTCTTTATTTCATAATTTAATTTTAAGATTTTTATTCCTTAGCGCTAAATTATGAATTATTATGATATATATGTCAACTAATATCTTTAAATTAAAAAAATTTTTAAAGTAAAATTTCTATTTAAAGACAATGTTAATAAGTTATTTGATATTGCTTGTTGGTAAATTTACTGTCCAGGTGACTTAAATTTGGGTATAATTATTCTTGAAAGTTTCTCCTATTTCTACTTTTGGGGCTTTAAAACTTCTCCGATCTGTGACAAGTCGGAAACTTCATCGTTTTATTCATCGTCTACAATGAATAATTTTGGTAAGATCGACACAGTCTACAAATGGTCTTTCAGGAAATCGAAGTTCGATTACAGGTCATTCACCCGAATCCACCCACCCGAAAGCACATTCGCCCGAATGCAGAATGCCCTAATACATTTGTCCGAATATATTTACACGAAAACTAATACATTTAGGAATTACAAAAATATAACGATCTATGTAGATGGATCCACCTTTGAACTTTTAAGAGCTCCCCCGAGTCGAAATTTAAAGTCTGAGTAGGAAGTACTAAGTACTGAATTTGTAGTACGTATTAGTACTTATGCAGTTCTTATTCCATGTTACATTAAGACCTACGTAAGTTCTTTTATGATCTTACATTTTCCGATCAAGTACAACTTTAGTACTTATACAGAACATAATAAAGACCTGTTTATATACTAGTAGAGTCTTCTATTTTCAGGATATGCGCTTGCGCTTTGCAAATTATTGTATTTACAAAGATGTATAACTTGACGTCACACTCGACCGGTAAAGTCGCAGAATGTAAAGTAATTACCACTCAAGTTCCAATATTACAATAAATTATGTTAAATTATGTCGATGAACACAAGCGCATAGAGTCCCTTCTTTCTACGCACTTTGATTATTTTCGCCTTTTCAAAAACCGCTAAAATCGCGTCTATCGCCTTTCCTAAAGCCATATTGGTTTTCTGATAAGCTATTTTCGGCTAACAAGATTCCCTGAAGTCTCTCTAGAATCATTCTCTCTAAAAGTTTACCCATCGTATCCAATAAATAAATTAGTCCAAGCGATAAAACTTTATCTAGAGGTTTATTTCCTTTTCTAAGAAGGACCAGCTTTTGTGTTTTCCAATTACTGAAAAATTCTTTAGACTTTAGACACGTATTAAAGACGTCAAAGAGTATCTTGGGATAAACAAAACCTTGACACCATTTGAAAATTTTGAACGTGACGAGTTCTTCCTTTTGTACTCCACAGTGAATTCCCACTTGGAAAGATTCCCCGGAAAGTGCCCCCTGGAGGTTCTATCAAAATTCCGACGGAATTCCGATTAATTTTTTTCAAAATTTTTAGAGTCCTAATTCCGTCGGAATTCCGGCAGAATTCCGTCGGAATCCCATCGGAAATTCTTTGGAACTCTGACGGAATTACGTTGGAAGTTCCGGCGGAATTCTGATAGAACCTCCAGGGGGCACTTTCCGAGGAATCTTTCCAAGTGGGTTGTCCTCTCTAGGGTCAGATTTCACAGGTGAAACAGCGCCCTTATGATCTTACGGTCCAAATTCGGATTGTCTAAACCAGGGGTTTTCCTTCTTTGTGGATTGTTCTGAAGAGACTCGAGGTACTACCTCTTCTTGAAATTTGCTTCACCATAATGTGCTGCGTTGCTTTAAACATATTCTTATTTTTATTAAATTATTATAAAATATAATTTTGTTTCGTGATATTATCTTATTCTATATCATTTAATTCATAAACAATTTTCTTTACTTTTCAGACGCTACAAAACATTATCCATTGGAGTTAGAGAAGATTATCTTTTAAGTGTATTCCTGGGAGACGTTATAGGCAGTCCAAAACTTTGCCATAAATTGTCAAAACAAAAAAAATTATGCGTTAAAAACATTTTATAGAGCTACATTATTTTGTTAGATAATTTTCTATTACATAATCAAATTATACACTTTTCCAATTGTTTTCTTTTATTTTCGGAATGCATGGCTCATTTCATTTAAATTGAATTATTCGAGTCTCTTGCCAAAAAATACTTTATGTTGTACGTAAGCTATTTAAAAGATTATAAACTATTATAAGTAAGCGTAGCTGTGTGGTCAGTGTATACTGCTTACTTCCTAAGGGGCTTGGGTTCAATTCCCCATGCGTGAACGATTTTTAAATATTATTTTCCACTTTATATACTGTAGATATAATAATCTTAAATATAATGTAAATTTAATAATTCTAAAAGTTGTTCTATTTTCAAAGACAGTTATTGAAACTTGAATAATCGAAATTAATTTAATAGTATGATGTTATCCGTAGATTGAAATTTTTTCCAGGAAGATGAGCTTTAAAAAATTAAAAAGGTGTTTGTTGGCAAAAAAAGATTATTACCGGTATGTTAGTCACTATTTTATGTGAAGATAATATTAACAAATAATCACAAGTGCATGTACCAATGAATATTAATAATTAATTTTAAATATTATTTAATGTAATAAAAATACTTTTTAATGTTAAATAATAATAAAAAAATAAGTAAAGAAATAAAATGATTGTTCTTATACCGTTTAATTAATTAAATTATTATCATAATGAAAACCCAATAAATGTTAAAAAATTTTACGCCATATTAAATTCATCATATTGAATTTTTTTTAAAGTTTCGTTCAATACGTAATGAGCGACTTCAAAAACTCACAAGGAGTGATATTGATGAGCTTTAGCTAAAATTTTTTAATTTTAGAGTGCCATATTCAATTGTTTTAGAATTAAGGGAAAAAGTTGAAGATTTAAATAAAATTTATTACTCTGGAATTTTTGAGGATGCAAAGTAACAATCTTCTTGATAGGCTCAATGGTTTTCCACAGAATGTTGCCCAATGTTTAGGTATTTATCCTTCCCGTATCATTTCAACGAGTTAACATTGTGTAACAGGAAATGCAAATTTTGTATCGAACCCAATTTTTATTCTAATTTCACTGTCCGAAATCACTCCTTTTGACGATATTAGTGTAAGAAACACATCTTTCATTAAAAAATATGTATTAATTTTGAAACTAACTTTATCTACCTTATTGAAGAAAATGGTAATTCATTCTCCATATTAAAAACTCAAATTAAAATTTAATTACAGATGGAAGTAAAAAATGACTTTGAGAAATACATGTAAAATGCCTTATGTTTTAGACACATTCACACTGAATGTACATAATAATTACATGAATACTGTTTTATAATTATGACGATAATCTTGAATATCATGTGTAAAAAAGCAAAAATTTGTTGTAATTTGTTTCAGCTCCATACCCATTACTCTGTAATCATTAATTGGACGTTGTAACAAGTAAATTGTCCATAGCATAATTATGTATCCATTAGCATGGTATTATATGGACTTAGAACTAGCTATTGCACTTTTATCGTTCATATTCACGTAACCACAACACCGATTTGACGGGGTATATTCTGTCTATTCGTAGCTGCTTATCTCTCTTCAATCAGCATTCTGTAGAAACTTTTATTGCCTGTGATCTTTATTTCTCTGTATTTATTTTTTATGCGTCTGTAAAAATGGGAATTATTACGACAGGGAAAGAATCGTTAAAACTTAAAATTGGAAATGCTTTCCAGGTAGCGTGATATTTTTTTAAATATAAAATAGAGGGTATTATAGTGTACAACTTTTTTGATTAGATGTAGCTGTAGTATAATCGAGGAAAATGTCTGTAAATTGAAAACAAAATTATGCGAACAGTTTTAGAATTAATTTAACAATGATTTATTTTAAAAAGTAATAATTAGGGGTCACAATTTTCAAAATAAAGGGTAAAATATATATAAAATTTTTGATATCTTAGTAAACATAAAGAATCATAGGCAATTGCTAAAAACAAAAGACTCACCTGATCGATGAAACTCGAATACTATTCACTTATTTCACTACTTAAAAGTCATGACTTCCCTCGACGGTGGTCGCCCTATCGCCTACTTTTGAGTTTTGGTTTAGGGAAGTATCAAATCAAAAAAAGACCCACGGTTACCTGTTGTCGCCGTAATTAGATTTTATCTAATTAATCGAAATAATGATGTTTCTTCTTGCCTTATCTATCAAGACTCTTCCAACAAGACTGGATTCTACTAAGCTGATTCAACAATCAACAGAACCACTACCTAGGATCGAGAAGCAAGCGGAAATGAGTACAGGGCCTTTACAAAAGAGTCTCCGGTCAACGGACCAGGAATGAGGAAGAAGTTTTCTCAATTCTCGTCCAAGTCAAAATTTATTTATTATTGAGTAAATGTTAGAACGCCATTCGCAAAAAGTACCAAAAATTGTCGACTTTAAATTTCGAAAAAACCGTTTGAATGTTTAAAAAAATCATTTTTTTGTGTCACATACGTCTTGCTTAATCTTAAAAAATATGAAAGGTGAGTTATAGTTAGTTAATTATGTCTACAGACTTTACAAATTGAATTTAAGTAAGAACGCCATTTATGCATTTTTGACGCTTCTGTCACCGCCACGCACGACGCCAGTTGGAACACCATGATGCTCAAGTGGTTAAAAACATTATGCATTTTATTATTTGTAAAAAGTCGGAATAACTCAAAATGTAGTAATGAAATGACGGTAGAAGTAAATGATATAAAGAGAATCACCACTGTATAGAGTATATAGCTTCATGAATAGAGCAGGATAGAGTTAGTAATTTATTATTCTCCGATTGGATCATTTTTTGGTTTTTCTCTACAGTATTCACTTCGACAATAAGAATTTGTAATTGTAGTATTTACTGGTAGTTTCTTTGGTCTAAATTATTTTTTTTTTTTCATTACTTATTGTATGTTTTGATGGTTTAAAATTTAAATTTTGTCTAGATCGTCTTTTGTTTTTCCACAGTATTGACTTCGTCAGTCATTTGTTTCTTTAGACTACATCATTTTTCATTAATATTAAACTTGAATGTCAAATTAAATCAAACCAATTAAATTTTTGAAATTTGACTCGAAATTCGTAATCAGCGACCCCAAAAACCCCGAGTGAACATTTTCAAGTGAATTAGGTCAAATTTTTGTTTTGACATCCGCCATTTTGAATTTTTGAAATCTGACTTCAGATTCGTAATCAGCGACTCCGAAAACCCTGTAACTATCATGATTTATTGAATTGTTATCCATTTTGAATTTTTATGTTATGTTTACATTTTTTTCGTGCACCCCTAAACAAAAACACACCCCCTGCTCTAAGAGTGAGTGCGATCAATTTCGAATAGGGCTCGTTTAAAAGGGCATGAACCAACCTTTAATTTCCGATATCAGCAAAGTTTGTACCACGTCAGGTTTTCGCTGTATAATTTTTCAAAAATGGCCAAAAACCCTGTTTTTAGGGGTTTCAACCCCTATTTTCTCGAAAACGTGACGTGATGGGAAGTTTTCGACCCCGGATTCGTGTTCAGCACAAAAAATCCGTTCGGAAACACTATGTCCCATGTTATTCGCAAAATCGATGTAGGGCAGTGTTATTAGAGACGTATTATAAGGGTGGATTTATCTGGAATATCTATCGTGACCCTCGATTTCTGATTTATAGTCCAAATTAAAGTTTGGTATAGCTGACGACTAAAGGCGGGAAAATTAAAATCTTGTAACTTGCGACTTTGAACATTCTTCTCGGCAAAATTCGATATCCAATCAGCAATCCTCAGAAATCGAGGTAAATTAGAAAAATCACTTTGACCAACAATCCAATGATAATCCTGACCGGTTATCCTCAGCATTCGCATTAAAAAAATTAAATAACAACAAAAATTAAATATAGAAAATTATCAGTACCTATGAACCTATTGAAGCGGGTAGAACTGGTAGAAATTCAGCTGCTGAACTTGTACATTTTCTTCACTTAAATAAGAGCCAAGTAGGCATTCTTAAATCTAGAATATCGTTTTTTTATATAATACTGAAACTATAACAACTCAATTCTTATGTTGGAAGAACATAAAATTAATTTAGAAATGAATTTTTACAAAAGGTATGAATTCGATGTTCAGAAATCAATGTTAATCAAGAATACCAAAATAATCGAAAGTAATCGTTCTTGTGGAAACCACTTAAATTAATATCAAGTCACAGGGTATTCTTCGACTTGACGGCTAACAATCATCAGGAGCGTCGCGACTGGCATCCAATCAGACCACCCTATTTGTCGTAACGGGAGCAGAGAACGACCACGATTCTATTTCTATGTTGTATTTTGTTGACAGTACAATGGCCTTTCCTTATGGCTGGTTGATGCTTGAGTGACAGAACCCCCGGACCAGCAACACTTGCAAACGTGACTGCACTCCACCCTTCACGCTTAACGCGAAATGCAATCGAAACAAACACCATCGTGTCGCGTTACGCTCTGCAATCGTGTTATATGTCGGCGAATGACAGCACATTCAGAAGAACAAGTGCCATTGTTAAATCGTTTTAGATTTTATCTGAAATCAGATGATTCAGAAGGGGATTTAACATGGATGGGTACATCACGATAAAATATTCTCTACCTTCTATTTCCCATCTTTTAATTTCTTTCAAAGCATCAGTTGAACCGCGAGAGAAACTTTCCTGCTCTACAAATCAAATCAAAAAGTTCTGTCCATGTTAAATCCATGTGACAGCTCACATACAATGACATATATTCTCACTCGAAGAGCAATCATTTAATCAATTTTTTCTTAGTTTAACATTGTTATCTTTTGTAGAAGGAAATGATTTTTAATTTTAATTTAAAATTACTATTATATATATTGCTCAAAATTATTACCGACGTATATAAGCAAATTTTGTTTATCGTTTTATTAAAGTATTAATAAAGTATGTATATAAAAATTATTTCTTAAAAAAACATAAGGGACATGAAATTGTACGCTACGTGGAGAATCACCCATATGTTTTTTACAAGAAAATGAATTGACATAAACTATTTTTGGAAAATCGAAAATCGTCTCGACTATAAATCTTTCTTTATGAAAACGAAAAAAATCTTAAGGGATTATTTTTTCAATAGTATTTTATTCTCTCGACAGTTCATTGTTGTTGGTCAGGCGGCAAGAATGATAATTAACGGCAATTCTGTGCTTAAAGCTGGGTTCAGCAAATATGTCCTCTCTCTCATCTTTAAGAAGAAAAGCACATAACGTTGAATTCCAGAAAACCATAAAGCTGCCTGCTGCCTTATCCGAGAGATAATGTCTCAGCTACGAGATCGCTTCTGCTTTCTACAAATTCAGTAGCTTTGAGAAAGCTCTGGCTCGATTGGATAACAAACATTTTATCGAGTTTCATTTTCCGAGCCGAGAGCCTTTTCGACATTAAATCTTAACAGCTTCTTCGGTAATAAATAATATTATGCACACGAAAACTCTCGCTCAGGGTGCCGTGGGGCAATTAAATAAAATGTGATATCGGTTCGAGTTATGACTAGAATCTTTATAGTTTATGACCTTCGCGAATTCCTTAAATTTAGAAATAAAATTCACTTCTTTATATACAGATGTGAAATATACAGATGAAATA